AAAGAAACCTTCTGAAATGATTGGAATGTTCTATATCTTGATCTAAGTGGTTCTATGGATGTATACATATATAAAAATTGATCAAGCTATACATTATACTGTAATTAAAACAAAGTTACTAAATTAAAAAATTATAATAAAAATAAAAGAGTCAACCTATGTCCTCTGACTGCAAATCCAGCACTTTGGGAAAGGTTTTCTTTGCAGTTTAAGTGTCTTAGAACCTCCCTGTTTGATTTGCTGCAGTAATATGCTGCCAATTCCAGAGCCCCTGGTTGGCACAAACAGTAGTTAAGTGCTCGGCTACTATCCAAAAGGTCGGCAGTTTGAATCCACCCAGTGGTGCCTCAGAAAAAAAGTCTGGTGATCTATTTCTGAAAAGTCACAGCCATTGAAAACCCTATGGAGCACAGTTCTACTCTGACACACATGGGGTCGCCTTGAGTTGGAATCAACTCCACTGCAACTGGTTTGTTTGTTTGTTTTCTGTTGCAACGATTTATCTTCCTCCACAATTGAATCTGCTTGCTACATTGTGTGCCTTACTGGGATGCTGTTTCCAGTTCAGAAGCAGCGCCTATGTCTTGAAATGTTCATCTATTTGTTGCAAGATCTGAAAGAACACGTAAAACAATACATTGTTATGTCACAGAGTTCAGATTTTAGGGTATTGTTTGGCCAGTCTGTATCCTGCCCTCTTCTTTCCACTGCCTATCCACGAAGGTCCTGGACAAGCCCCATTTCCTCCTTATATTGTTAGCCTGTCATGATCTCACCTTTCAGTCAACTCCTACAGTACCACTGACTCCTTCCCCTCTGTCTATAAACATTCGCAGTTCTTTTCCCAAAAAACCATGCCTGGGCTCTGACATCCCCTCAAGTTGATGTCAAAACTCATTCCTTCCTTTCACAATCAAATTTCTTCAAAGAGGAGGCAACGCTTAACTGTTGTCTTTGCTGCTTAATCCCTTGCAATCTGGCTTCCTCTCATATATCCTGCTTTTTCTTTAGGGCACCAGTGCCCTCCTAATGGCCAAAGGTATCTTTGACCCTTTTGCAATACCTGACATTGTTGCTGTCTCTTTATTCTTGAAACTCTCTCCTCCCTTGATTTCTGTGAAACGGTTGCTATGAGTCGAAATCGACTGGAGGGCAACAGGTTGTTTTTTTTTTTGTTTATTTGTTTGTTTCTTTGTTTTTGGTACTACACTTGTCCTCCCCTAATTATTTCCTTTTTGTCTCCTTTCTGATATCTTTTTCTCCTCCTATTCCCTACAAATAGGCATTTCTAAAAATTACACTCTACTTCCTAGCTCAGAGATTCTCACCATGATGTGAGGCAGATTTTAGTGACATAAACTAATTTGCATTTTTAGAAGCTCACTTTGGCTGCTGCAAAGAGAATGGACTGTGGGGCAGCAAGAGTGCAAGTAGAGACTAGTTAGGTATTGCATAGAGTCCAGATGAGAGATGATAGTACCTGGAATGGGGTAGTAGCAATGCAGAAGGGGATAAGTTTATGTATTTGAGAGACGTCTTGGAGGTGGAACTGATGGAAATTATTGATGGACTGAATTTGCTGGTGAGGAAAAAAAAGAAAACATGAGTAATTCCCAGGTTTCTAGCTTAGGCAAGCGGATAGGTGTTGGTGTCTTTACTCAGCTATGGACGGTGGGAAAGGGGCAGAACATACTTGGATGAGGAAATGAAGAGTTTGGTTTTGAAAATGTTAAGCTAGATATGGCTATTAGACAACTCGGTGGCTATATGAATACATATATAGATACAGACGTAGATATATTGTTGTTGTAAGGTGCCATCAAGTCGGTTCCAACTCATAGTGAACCCGTGTACAACAGAACGAAACAGTGCCCAGTCCTGCGTCATCCTCACAGTCGTTGTTATGCTTGAGCCCATTGCTGTAGCCAATGTGTCAATCCATCTTGTTGAGGGTCTTCCTCCTTTTTCGCTGACCTTCTACTTTACAGCGTGATGTCGTTCTCCAGGGAATGGCCCCTCCTGATAACATGTCCAAAGTACGTGAAACAAAGTCTCACCATCCTTACTTCTAATGAGCATTCTGGATGTACCTCTTCCAACACAGATTTGTTCGTTCTTCTGGCAGTCCGTGGTATATTCAGTATTCTTGGCCAACACCATAATTCAAAGGCGTTAATTCTTCTTTGGTCTTCCTTATTCATTGTCCAGCTTTTGCAATGCATATGAGTCGATTGAAAACACAATGGCTTGGTTCAGGTGCACCTTAGTCCTTGAAGTGACATGTTTGCTCTTTAATACTTCAAAGAGGTCTTTTGCAGCAGATTTGCCCAATGCAATGTGTTGTTTGATTTCTTGACTGTTACTTCCATGGGAGTTGATTGAGGATCCAAGTAAAATGAAGTCCTTTACAACTTCAGTATTTTTTCTGTTTATCGACTCAATGGCAACGGGTTTGGTTTTTGGTTATTGAAAGGGTGCTAAATGGAAGTTTGATAAAAGTTAAATGTAACACAAAGTCATCTTGGAGGAATGGAGTTTATATACTGAAGGGAATTTTCAAAGGCTTCAGGGTCAGGCAGACCTGATTTTGAATTTCTGCTTTTCTTCTTTTTAAGTGTGACCTTGAGCAAGTTCTTTCATCTCTACGTTGCATCTGTAAAATGGTTATATTAAAACTTCCTTTGTGGGACTGTTGCAAGGATAAAATGAGCTAAAATATCCAAAGTGCCTATCACAATGCTTAGTACATAAATGCTCAATAAATGTTTAAAGAGTGGGAAACAAGCTGGATTTTAAAGAAGGTAAGGATACTGGACTGTCTGAGAGCAGTTAATAGTTCAAATTAGTGTGGGAGTTGGTGGCATTGGCCAGCTTTTACCAGATCATAAGGTTTTCAGGATCTGGAAATACTGATGGTAATTCTAAAACTGCTTCAGGATATTCTTTAATGTGACCCTCACACTGAACCTAAAGTATTTCCCCAACCCTTGTTCAGCTGCAGAAGCAAAAGGAGGGAGGGAAAAAGAGCTTTAGTTTCCAAACATTGAAAGTATCTTCTCGCATACTTACTACCACATGAGTTTTCAAAGAGTATATTTGACACCATTATTTGATTGGAATCTACCAGTTTCCACAGAACCTGCCAGTCTCTTGGGAAAATGCTATCAGATTTGCAGTGGCGTCACTAGGGTTGATCTCACTCAGTGCAGTAACTCACAGTGTCACCCCCCATGCTAATTACCACAATATTTTAGCTAAAACACCAGAAAATTTGACAAAATCAGGGAACACCAGCCACAACAAAAACAACAGATGAAACCAAGTGATTTGAAGCATGATTATAATTGGGTAATAATGACAGCTCTGAAACCAGAGCGCATTAGAAGTTTCAAAAAGCGAATTAGCATAGATTCATGCAAGCTGGGCTTACGAAAAAATGTTCTGTTGTTATAACTACAGGGATATATTTTTTTTAATTTTTAATTTTTTTATTGTACTTTAGATGAAGGTTTACAGAACAAATAGTTTCTTATTAAACAGTCAGTACAATATTTTTTATGACATTGGTTAACAACCCCACAACATGTCAGCACTCTCCCTTCTCGACTGTGAGCACGTTTTTTTTGGTGAAAATGTACATAGCCAAAGTTACACCATTTTGAAAGTTTCTACATGTACAATTCAGTGACATCGATTACATTCTTCCAGTTGTGCTGCTATTCTCACTAACCTTTTCCAAATTTTTCTATCACCATTATCTTCAACTCTCTGTCCCCTAGGCTTCCCATCAAACCTTTTGAGTTTCTGTTGTCAATTTGATCTCACATAGATAATTCTTTTTTTTGTACCTTACAAGAAGGTTTGCAGAACAAATAGTTTCTCATTAAACAGTTAGTACACATATTGCCCTATGACAATGGTTAACAACCCCACGACATGTCAACACTGTCACTTCTCAACTTTGGGGTTCCCTATCACCAGCTTTCCTGTCCCCTCCTGCCTTCTAGTCCTTGTCCCTGGACTGCTGTGCCTCATTAGTCCTGTTTTGTTCTATGAGGCTGTCCAATCCCCGGCTGAACAGTGAACTTCAGGAGGGGCTTCACCACTGAGCTAAAAGGGTGTCTGGGGGCCATAATCTCAGGGTTTCTCCAGTCTGTCAGGCCAGTAAATCTGGTCTTTTTTTGTGAGTTAGAATTCTGTTCTACATTCTTTTCCAGCTCTGTCCAGGACTCTCTGTTGTGATCCCGGTCAGAGCAGTCAGTGATGGTAGCCGGGTACCATCTAGCTGTACTGGACTCAGTCCGGTGGAGGCCTTGGAAGCTGTGGTTCTTTAGTCCTTTGGACTAATCTTTTCCTTGTATCTTGTTCTCTTCATTCTCCCTTGCTCCTGAAGGGATGAGACCAGAGGAGTATCTTAGATGGCTGCTCACAGGCTTTTAAGACCCCAGATGCTGCTCACCAAGGTAGAATGTAGAACGTTATCTTTATAAACTGTGTTATGCCAATTGAGCTAGATGTTCCCTAAGACCGTGGTCCCCACAGCCCTCTGCCCAACAATTCAGCCCCTCAAGAAGTTTGGATGTGTCTATGAAGCTTCCATGACCTTTCCTTGTACAAGCAACTGCTGACCTTTTGATTAGCAGCTGAGCTCTTAACCACTGCGCCACAAGGGCGCCTATTGTTAATTAGCCCCCCCACAGGAAAGCCTGTCTACGTAAGTTGCAGCTGATGTATCTAGGTGGTGGTGGGCTCTTGGTAGCTACATTGTTTCTGTCTTTAAATATTTAAATAGGTGTATTTGCAAGTTCAGAGAATTCATAAAGAGTTGAGGCTGCGTTTTTTAGCCCTAAAACTCAAAATTCTCGTCTATTGTAATGATTAGCTCCGGCTCTCCCGGTTCTCAAACTCCTGGAAACTACATCTCCCAGTATGCTCTGCGGCTGGTCTGACCTCATTTCAAATGGCCCCGTAGGGCAACAAGGATGGTTAGTTTTGACCGTACTTATTTTGTGCCATAAATTTCAATTCTAACTGGCAGCTATTTGGGCTGTTTTATAGCCACCAAACCCCCTTTTTTAAACTGTGGCCACTAAATGGAGGGCTTCGGGCCTGGGAAGGTCCATCTGTTCTCTCAATTGGATGGAGAGCGGGGACAGTGTCTCCGGCCATCTCAAGAATAGGAGGGAATGTTGACCAGGGAGCACCTGCGGCCGATCAGAGGAGCAGGAACTCGAGCCCGAACTGAGTCCGTAGAAAGCCGGATCCGGACGGTTGCTCCGGATCGGTTGGAAGTGGAACATGGAGGAGCCAGAGGAACCGGCGGACGGTGGGCAGTCGCTGCCGCCGGTTTACATCTACAGTCCCGAGTATGTCAACATGTGCGACTCTTTGGCCAAAGTCCCCAAACGGGTAAGAGAGGTCGGGACGAAAGACCGCGGGGCTTTTCGGAGTGGGGGGGGGGGTGCGTAGCAGTGGAGGCGGTGGAAGCGGAGAGGACACTTGGGCTGGGGGAATCTTTGTCAGGTGATGGAGGAAGTGTTCTCTTATAGCGTTTATAGGCGGGGTGTCCAACGGAGGGGGGGGGGGGGGGGGGGGGGGGGGGGCATAAGGGAGGGGATGGTGTTTCTTGCTACAAGGGAGTCTCTGAAGTCGTGGGAAAGAATCGCGGAACTGAAAAGTGTTCCATCACCTAAGTTAAGGGCCCGTTGCTTTCCCTTTAGTGATTAAGATACTTTGTATCTATATTGTGTAAAGTGTATGTAACTGTTACGTAAATAGAAGAAAAACCCAAAACCCAGTGCCGTCTAATTGATCCGTCTCATAACGACCCTATATAGAAAGGAGAGCTAAAACAAAGTTCCTTTGGTTCAAGAGGACGCGATCGGTGAGATTTCGCCGAATTAAACTGTTAAAAGACATTAAGCACAGACTATTTTCTGTCTTTTGTTTTTAGGCCAGTATGGTACATTCTCTGATTGAAGCATATGCACTGCATAAGCAAATGAGGTAAGTTGCCTTTCTTTCTTGAACATAGTCTTGAACCTAAGTATTCATAGCTTTATTATCTATCCTCCTTGACAGTGAGAGAAGAATGGTGCTTTTTTTTTTTAAGCTTTTGTAATCTGCCTGTAACCACATGGAAGTGCTTAAGAAATTAAGAAAACTTGAAAAAAAAGTGCATGAAGCAGTTAAGATCCCATAGAAATAGGACTCTATTGCTGAGAGGGGAAATATCCTAGGGATAGGTGCATTGTGGAAATTTTGAAGTTACATTGTGGAGATTTTGAGGTTACTACATTTGGGTACTAAAACCTGTCTGATAGATAAAGGTGTTCAACTGGGAGGAACTTTCATTTCAAAAAAAAAAAAATTATGACTAACAAGAAAGCAAAGTAAAACTGTCCAATTTCCTTGCTGTTAAGTAGGGAGATATTCAGTAAGTGTTAAACAAATGGAAAAGTGGTAGAAGAGAGAGCAATTAGAACTTGGAACCTGGTCCCAGAAACTAAAATATTTATTTTAATGGACAGATTTTTCACCTCTGACGGTATAGACAAGTTTTCTTGAAGAAGACGTATGTATGACTCTTTAGATCTTGGCTATTTATTTAATTTTTGAGGTTGAACTACAGGATTTCTTCCAGCCTTCTTGGTGATAGTAGTAGTCTGTATACAACAACATAACAGCCCACTGCCAGTGAATCGACGGCGATTCATAGCTACCCTATAGGACAGAGTAGAACTGAACCATAGGGTTGGTTTCCAAGGCTGTAATCTTTACAGAAGCAGGCTGCCTCATGTTTCTCTTGCGGAGCGGCTGATGGGTTCGAACTGCTGACCTTTCAGTTAGCATCTGAGCACTTTAACCACTGTACCACCAGGGCTCCTTCATAGCTTGTATGGTCATATTGATTCATGATAAACTCATGGGTTTGCTTCCATTCAGCAAACATAAAAAACCACTACTGCCTCCCTGTGGCCTAGGTCAGTGCTCCTCTAACTTGTTGAATCACCTTGTTAAAATACATCATCTTGCTAAAAAAATCATCTTGTTAAAATACAAATTTGGATTCAGTAGGTCTGAGGTGAGCCTGAGGTTCTGCATTTCTAACCGTCTCCCAAGTGATGCTGATGCTACTGGTCCATAGATCACACTTTAAGTGGCAATGGCTAGAGAATAGCAGTGCCAGTGGTGGGGTCAGGAAGAGGAAATGTGGAACAGGCAGCTCGAGGTAAAAGGTGGTAAATCTTGTTGTTAGGATAATTCCCTTTGTTCTGTCATTCACCCCTATTTATTACTTCTTGTGAGGTTAAGAGGTTCTGAGTGAAGCCCAGTTTCCAATCTTTCTGCCCCTTCTCTCCTTTCTCTCAGAAGCAGGTGTGAGGGACCAAGTAAAGGAATTTGTACATTTTGGGTTGCCTATTTTTTATCCTTTAGTATTAATAATAATGATAGGAATCCACAAAGCATTTTCATACATGTTATTTAATCTCCACATATGTCCCCCATTAAGGTATTCCCATTTTATAGATGAGGTAACTAAGCTGCAGAATGGTCAAATAACTTACCTGAGGTTTTACAACTAGTAAGTACATAATTCAGGACAGGAACCCAGTTCTCTGACTCCAAAGTAAAAATTATCTAAAAGGATTACATTGCTCAATTAGGAACCAATTAAATGAAAATATCTCTGTCTACTGGTTTGTCATGAAAGTTGTAACTCACAGAGTACAGTTTGTCTGATATCTGATTATTTATTTATCTTAAATATGATTACTCATTTGTTTTTACCTAACTATAAACTCAAGGGAAAAATCTATCCCCTTAGTGATGGAATCATTACCATGATGTGAAGAAGTTGTCTTAGTTATCTAGTGCTGCTATAACAGAAATACTGCAACCGGGTGGCTTTAACCAACAAATTTATTTTCTCACAGTTTAGGAGGCTAGAAGTCTGAATTCAGGGTGCTGGCTCTAGGGGAATGTGTTCTCTCTCTGTCGCTCTGGAGAGAGGTCTTGTCTCTTCTGAGCTTCTGCTCCTGGGCAATCTTCATGTGGCTTGGCATCAATCTTCCCCCTATCTCTGCTTGCTAGCTTGTTTGTTTAATCTCTTTTACATCTCAGAAGAGATTTACTCAAGATACCCATTCCCAAATGGGATTATAACCACAGGCATAGAGGCTAGGATTTACAACACATATTATTTTGGGTGGACACAATTCAATCCATAACAGAAGTAAAGACTATATTGTGCAGTGGAGGCGCAAAACCAAAAAAACCCAACCCGTTGCTTTTGAGTTGATTCTGACTCACAGCGACCCTATAGGACAGAGTAGAACTGCCCCCATAGGGTTTCCAAGGCTGTAATCTTTACGGAAGCAGACTGCCACGTCTTTCTCCCATGGAGCGGCTGGTGGGTTTGAAATGCTGACCTTTTGGTTAGCAGCTGTTATGGATTGAATTGTGTCCCCCCAAAATGTGTGTCAACTTGGCTAGGCCATGATTTCCAGTATTGTGTGATTGTCCACCATTTTGTCATCTGATGTGATTTTCCTATGTGTTGTAAATCCTATCTCTATAGGATTAATGAGGCAGTCATGTTAACGAGGCAGGACTCAATCTACAAGATTAGGTTGTGTCTTGAGTCAATCTCTTTTGAGATATAAAAGAAGCGAGCAGAGACGGGGGACCTCATACTACCAGGAATGAAAAACCAGGAGGGGAGTGCATCCTTTGGACCCAGGGTCCCTGCACGAAGAAGCTCCTAGAGCAGGGGAAGATTGATGACATGGACCTTTCCCCAGAGCCGATAGAGAGAGAAAGGCTTCCCCTGGAGCTGACACCCTGAATTCAGAATTTTAACCTCCTAGACTGTGAGAGAATAAATTTCTCTTTGTTAAAGCCATCCACTTGTGGTATTTCTGTTATAGCAGTACTAAATACCTGAAGCAGCAGCCAAGCACTTACCCACTGCACCACCACGGCTCCTTAGTGGAGGAGCAGAACGTGTTTATTACTTTAGCCTACTGAAACCAGAAGCTGGGGGATGTATTTTCTGCTCAGACTGCTGGCTCCTTTGCAGCTTCTGGCATACTCTGGGTCTGACTCACTCACTTCTGTTTGTTCTGTTATTGTTAGGATTGTTAAGCCAAAAGTGGCCTCAATGGAGGAGATGGCCACCTTCCATACTGATGCCTATCTGCAGCATCTCCAGCAGGTCAGCCAAGAAGGAGATGATGATCATCCGGACTCCATAGAATATGGGCTAGGTAAAGTTGTAACCAGGCAATGATGGGAGATAGACAACTTCCATCTGTAGAGTATAACTAGTTAATCTTTTATAATTTGCATTATGGCTTTTAATGAATTTTTAATTAGCAAATAATGTGTTAACCATTAATCTTAATCTCTTGATTTAGCCACATAACTCACAAAGCAAACCATATGAGTTGAGCAAAACTGAATGATGGATCAAATGGAGGAAAACCTTTCAGTGCCTTATGCCCTAGTAGCAGTCCGTGTCCATATCTGGTATGGCTATATGTATGCTGATTTGGCTGTCCTGTGACCTTATATTTTAACTTGAGTACAGATGTATGTTCTGGCTAACTTTTCTGTCTTATCTCGCATTAAACAGCTACATTTTTTAAACTATAAATGGCCAGTACCATGGTTTAATAGGAAAAAACACTGGACTGGGAGTCAAGAGACCTGGCTTCCAGGCCTGGCTCTTTGTGACCGTAGACAAGACATATCACCTCTCAGGCCTCTCCATCTGTAGGTTGTGGCTAGTTAATCTTTAAGGTTTTTCTTTTCAAGCTCTAACATTTTAAAAATCCTTGCCCCAATATTGTGAGATGTTTCTATCTCAGTCGGAGCTGATGTTAGCACAGTAGCTTTTTGGTTTAAGTTGTCACATCTCAACCTATTCCTCCTCTTTCTAGAATTTATCTCTTAACAGAGTCTTCTGATTTTTGCCCTAAGGTTATGACTGCCCAGCCACTGAAGGGATATTTGACTATGCAGCAGCTGTAGGAGGGGCTACAATCACAGCTGCCCAATGCCTGATTGATGGAAAGTGCAAAGTCGCAATTAACTGGTCTGGAGGCTGGCATCATGCAAAGAAGTAAGAAAATTACCTTTCTGCTTTCTGACTTTACTTAAGTCAATTTTTCAGTTAGGCAAACTCTTATGCTTGTTTTCTTGACGTTTATTGAGAGATTTGTATATATATAGCACTTTACTAGACATTCTGAAGAGACACAAATGAAATAGAAGATGGCATAGCATAGTAGAAAGAACACTACTGAAAGTCAAGGCACCTGGGTTCTAAGCCTAGTTTTGCTCCTAACTCAGCTAACTGACTTGGACATATCAACCCCTCTAGGCCTCAGTTTCTCCGTCGATAAAATGGGCAGGGCAAAGGATATGTAACTCTACATCTCTAAAGAAAGTGGTAACCTAGAGTTAGGTATCTGTCTAAGGAGAAATGGCTTGTGAAGCCACTATTCTTAGGTATTACTTGGGGTTGGAGGAAAAATCCTCTTGGAGTTTTATGTTAACATTTCAAACAGAAATACTCTAACTAGGACTGCTGTGCCTTATTTAGCATTTGGCATCTTGTTTGATATGTCTGTAGTACTTAACAAATGTTGGAGGAGAAGAATTTTAAAAACTGAATTGATCAGTCGTCTGTCTGAAATGAGGCAGCTGTGGTCGTAACTGCCAACGCATCATTTACAAACCAGTTGATTGTCCTATCAGCCATAACCTTGATACTCTGTAGTGCTCTTGAGTCGAGAGAAAATGGCACTCTTTTTTTTTCCAGAATAAATCTTCGAGCACAATTTCAGCATATACAGGTTAAGATAATAACATGGAAATCTTTTCATCAAATTGACAGATTTCATGACCAAAAAAGTCCTTGAAAATTGATGTTTACTACTAGAATCTACAGCTTAGGCAATAGAGCAAAGAAAACCAATGTTTTGGTAATGAATTCTACGTGGTCTTGAAAACAAAACAAAAACAGCCTTTTGTTCGCTTTTGCTGTGTTTAAAAAAAAAAAAGTTCAAGATAAATATATGAACCCTAGGGGAAAAAAAAATGACCCTCTCTTCCTCGAACTGCAGAATGAAAGGAGAAGACTAAGCTTCTCTGAACCAGAAACTTTTATGTCCTTTTGGGCTTAGTGAGTTGGGAAGAAAAGTAGTGTGGTTTCATGGAAAATGCCTGGTCCTAGGAGTCAGATGTAGTTTCTGCATGTGGCACTGGAGGTTCTTATGTACTTAAATTTACTGCATAAGACATGGTAGGCCCTGGATGAGTTTCTAGTGGAATACTCAGATACCTGTCACTTTATTACTGTTTTGCCGCCAAAGGAAGTGCACTGTATCTTGAGCCAGTCGTGGCTGCTGCTTGGCTCTGTACAGGCACAGACATGCCCACACATCATTATCTTTACAGTTTCAGACAGCTTTCAGCTGATCCTACCTGGAAACAGACACACCTTCAGTGAAAGCAAATTACAATCTAGGGATTGTTCCAATTCAGATCAGAATTCCAGGGTGTTCTTGGCATCTCGAGAACCTTTCTGCAGATGAACTACAGGTATTAAGCCCCAAAATTTACATCTAGCAAGCATTTACATACTATAATCACAATATTTGTTTAAACCTCCCAATCCCCCAAGACATGCACAGATTCATATGTATCATTTATTCATTCAACAAGCATTGCTTTGTCGTTAGGTGCGGTCGAGTTGATTTTCAACTCATGGCACCTACTATATGTCAAGCATATGTTTATCATCCCTAATAAGCAGAAGTACAGAAATTGAAGCAAGGTTTCTTTTTTTAATTAATAAACTTTATTTTTTTAGAACAGTTTCAGGTGTACAGAAAAATTGAGCAGAAAATACAGAGAGCTTCCATATACCCTCTCACACCCCTTCCCCCTCCCCGCACACAGTTTCTCCTGTTAAAGTCCATAGTTTACATTAAGGTTCACTCTTTGCATTGTACAGTTTTATGGATTTTGACAAATGTATGATGTCATGTATCCACCATTACAGTATCATAGCAAATAGTTTTACCACTCGAGAAATCCTGCCTATTCATCCCTCCCTCCCTCCTTCTGAACCTCTGGCAGCCACTGATCTTTTTTCTGTCTCTATAGTTTTGCCTTTCCCAGAATGTCATATAGTTGGAATCATACAGTATGTAGCCTTTTCAGATTGGCTTCTTTCACTTAGCAATATGCATTTAAGGTCGCTCCACATCCTTTTGTAACTTGTTAACTCATTTCTTTTTATCACTGAATAATATTCCATTAGCTATGAGTGGGAATTGACTCAACGGCAATGGGTTTTTCACGTTTTTGTATGGATGTAGGACAGTTTGTTTATCCATTCACCTATATAAAGATATCTTGGTTGCTTCCAATTTTGGGCAATTATCAATAAAGCTGCCATAAACATTCATGTGCAGGTTTTTGTGTGGACATAAGTTTTCAACTCATTTGGGTAAATACCAAGGTGAGTCATTGCTGGATGGTTTAGCTTTTAAGAAACTGCGAAACTGTCTTCCAAAACGGCTGTACCATTTTGCATCTGCACCAGCAATGAACGAGAGTTTCTCTTGCTCCATCCACATCCTTGTCAGCGTTTGGTGTTGTCAGGGTTTTGTATTTTAGTCATACTGATAGGTGTATTTTTTGGTATCTCGTTTTTTAATTTACAGTTCTCTAATGATATATAGTGTTGAGCATCTTTCCATAGGCTTATTTGCCAACCGTATATCTTCTTTGATAAAACATCTGCTCAGATCTTTTGCCCATTTTTTAATTCAGTTGTTTTCTTATTGTTGAGTTTTAAGAGTTCTTTGTGTATTTTTAGGGGGCCTGGTGGTGCAGTGGTTAAGAGCTAAGGCTGCTTACCAAAGGTTGGCAGTTCGAATCTACCAGCTGTTCCTTGGAAACCCTGTGGGGCTGTTCTACTCTATCTCACAGAGTTGCTATGAGTTGAAATTGACTCGACAGCAACAGGTTGGGTTTTTTCTTTCTTGGATCATGCTTTTGGTGTTTATCTAAAAACTCATTACCAAACGCAAGATCACCTAGATTTTCTCCTGTTATCTTCTAGAAATTTTATACTTTTGCATAAAAGTTTAGGTATATGATCCACGTTGGGTTACTTTTTGTGAAAGGTGTTAAGAGCTATGTCTAGATTCATTTTGTTGGATGTGGATGTCCAGTTGTTCCAGCATCATTTATTGAAAAGAATATTCTTTCTCCATGGAATTGCCTTTGCTTTTTTGTCAAAGATCAGTTGACTACATTTGTGTGGGTCTGTTTCTGGGCTCTTTGTTCTGTTTATTCCATTGATCTATTTGTCTGTTCTTTTACCAGTACAACATAGTCTTGATTACTGCGGCTTTATATTAAGTCTTTTTCTTTTTTCTTTTCAAATTTTATTGTTATTTTTGAGAATATACACAGCAAAACATACACCAATTCAAACATTTCTACATATGCAATTCAGTGACATTGATTATATTCAAGTTTGCAACCATTCTCACTCTCCTTTTTTTGTCTTTACTTTTTTATTGTACTTTCGATGAAGGTTTACAGAGCAAATTAGTTTCTCATTAAACAATTAATACACATATTTTGTGACATTGGTTGCCAACCCCAAGACATGTCAACACTCTCCCCTTCTCGACCTTGGGTTCCCATTACCAGCTTTCCTGTCTCCTCCTGCCTTCTCGTCCTTGCCCCTGGGCTGGTGTGCCCATTTAGTCTTGTTTTGTTTTATGGGCCTGTCTAATCTTTGGCTGAAGGGTGAACCTCAGGAGTGACTTCATTACTGAGCTATAAGAGTGTCCGAAGGCCATACTCTCAGAGTTTCTCCAGTCTCTGTCAGACCAGTAAATCTGAGCTTGTTTTGGTTTTTTTTGGTGAGTTAGAATTTTCTTCTACATTTTTCTCAGGCTCTGTCCAGGACCCTCTATTGTGATCCTGGTCAGTCAGTGGTGGTAGCTGGGCACCATCCAGTTTTGCTGGACTCAGTCTGGTGGAGGCTGTGGTAGTTGTGGTCCATTAGTCCTTTGGACTAATCTTTCCCTTGTGTCTTTGGTTTTCTTTCATTCTCCCTTGCTCCAGATGGGGTGAGACCATTAGAGTATCTTAGATGGCTGCTCAAAAGCTTTTAAGACCCCAGATGCTACTCACCAAAGTAGAATGTAGAACATTTTCTTTAGACTATGTTATGCCAATTGAGTTAGATGTTCCCTGAGACCATGGTCCCCACAGTCCTCAGTCCAGTAATTTGGTCCCTCAGGGAGTTTGGATGTGTCTTTGGAGCTTCAATGACCTTGCTTGTACAAGTTGTGCTGGCTTCCCTAGTATTATGTACTGTCTTACCCTTCACCAAAGTTACCACTTATCTATTGCCTATTTAGTGTTTCTCCCTCCCACCCCTCCTCTCCCTCGTAACCATCAAAGATTGTTTCTTTTTGTGTATAAACCTTTTCATGGGTTTTTATAGTAGAGGTCTCATACAATATTTGTCCTTTTGTGATTGACTTATTTTACTCAGCATGATGCCCTCCAGATTCATCCATGTTGTGAGTTGCTTCATAGATTCATTGTTGCTTTTTATCGTTGCATAGTATTCTATTGTGTGTATGTACTATAGTTTGTTTATCCATTCATCTGTTGATGGGCACCTAGGTTGTTTCCATCTTTTTGCTATTGTGAACACTCACACTTCTTTCCTGAGATGTTCCTCCTCCATTAACATAAACTCACTGCTCTCTAACATTCCTGTCTAATCTTTGTGTTGCTGTTGTCACTTTGATCCCATATAGATAGCTCTTAAAAGAGCATAATGCTCAAGGCAGAGATTTTTTTTCTAGTTAAACTATTGTTTGTCTTTAAGAAGACTTCAGGGGTTATTTTTGGTTTAGGATTTAAAGATTATCTCAGGGTAATAGTTTCAGTGGTTCATCCAGCCTCCATGGCTCCAGAAAGTCTCGAGTCCATGAGAATTTGAAATTCTGCATGTTTCCCTTTTAAAATGTTCAGGATTCTTCTATAGAATCTTTGATGAAAATGTTCACTAATGGT